CGCAGTATACTCGTCTGGTGCCCGGGTATTCAAACAACTTAGGTGCTGAGATAGGAAAACCAACAAAACCACAGTTAATACGCGGCTGGTTTTAACGTAGGGATGAGAGGGAGCGCAGCTCAGTTGTGCGGACGCCCCATCGGCAGCCACGGCGCCCCGACCGCCAGCCCCGCAGTGGCGGGAGCAAGTGCAAGTGTTGGTGGAAGCGGGTGTGACCAGTGTTCACAGGTGGCACCCCACGGCATATTCTTGACTGCGCACGTGGGGACCCCAAGTTCCCGGCTCCCCATGCCCGCTGCCTTACCAATGCTCAAGGGCAGGATTCTCTTCTTCCTCACACAGACTTTTATAAAGATGCAAAACCAGGTCCCTGCAGGTGACATCAAGGCGATCCTTTCTGGAGGTTAGACCAGACATGAGCTGCGTGGCACCCAGGGCCTTTGCTCATACAGGGTCCCCGCTGCCCTGGGGCCACGCCTGCCCCTCCTCGTCTTCTTCCTGAGTAGCTGCCCACGGACCATAGCCTCTTCTGTCGGCCGTGCATGCAGGTTGGGGGGGAGATGGCGGTCGGAGAGTTCAGGAGGTGTCCCCCAAGCATGAAGTGACCCGTCCCATCAAACCCTTAATTGTCCGTGTTTCTGGAAGTTCCTCTGGATCCCCAGGGCTCCGCACACAGGCAGCCTCTATGGGGGCAGGGGATCAGGTTTTCAGATGGATCACATTGGGCCAAGACATGGCATGTTGGGTGGGTGCGTACGCAGAGGGAGCGAAGCGCCGCGTGCCTTCCAGCCATCAGGGTTCCTGCCTGGCATCCTTCCTCGCTCCATCAGAGCTCGCTGCCACCCACCCACCGCTGCACCCCAAGCTAAATGGCGGTGTAGTTAATTGTGGGGAGGGGGCCGCATCGGCCCTGTTGACACACAGCCCTGGTCCTGAACAGAAGCCAGTGGCTGGGAGAGGCTAGAGGTCACTTCACCTAGAGGGACTCTGCCTTCAAGCTTCTTAAAGTCCTGCTAAAGACAAAAGCATATCTAGCAACATGAACAATTATTACCCAGACCCCGTGACACCAACTCTAACAGCTAGACGGTTGGTGTTCAGAGAAAGGACATCCAGGAGAGGAAGGAGTCCAGGGTCCATGCCGGTGTTGGCTTCTGTTAGATGCTGACCACATGTCCCCACATTCAACCAAGTGGAGGCTCCCCCAGTGCTGTGAACCAACACGGTCTGGGAACAGCCCGTGGGCCAGGCCGCTTCTGCCTGCGGGGACACAGCTGGGAAGCCAACCTCCGTGAGCGGGCCTCTGCTCCCATGGTCTCACTGTGTCCAGATATGATAATAGCTAATTCCACCAAATATTAGAGGGGGCTCACATTTAATTAAGGAGTGGCCATTTGTATGCTCCAGACTGGAGGTCCCCATGGCACCAAAGTCAAAAGAAGAGTCCTTCGGGAACATGCCAATCTTCTCTTATTTCCTCTGCTGAGCCCCTGCCTCCTTTGAATGCAATTATGGGAACAAATAAAATGGCTTAACTCAACTCCCCTGTGGGCCAGCCAGCTCTCTGCTGATAAAACCAGTTGTGTGGGCAATCATTAAATGAGAAATCTAATATTTAACTAAATTTAATAGTCTGTTGCTTTGGTGCCTCTGTGAAGGGTGGGATTTCAACAGAGAGGTGAGCTATTCAAACGCGGTCTGCAGGGTCTGTGCTCGATTAGCACACTCGGTGCTCCCGCTCGATGCCGGAGCTCCAGGCTCTGGAATCAGATAGGCTGCATGTTCTCCGTAACACCAGGCAGGCCCAACTCAGGGGGCAGCAGACCCGCACTGCAACCTATGTTTGAACTTTCTCCTTCAGGATCGGCCTTAGAGATCACTGAGTGATGTCAGAGATGCAAATGCAGCCGAATTGTGTTGGTTCTCTCTCATTTTGAGAGCTGCTGGTCCTGGTTGGCCTTGCCACCAGCAAACCTCCCCTGGTGGAGGGTGTCACCTGCACCCCAGGACCCAACACGTGGGGCTGCCTCTCGGTAGCAATGGGCCATCCTTGCTCCTATGCATGCCGGCTGACTCCCCTCATCCAGCTTGACCTACATTTGCACACCCCCAGCCCCTTACCAGTTTCCACCTGGGCTTGTATCACAGACACACAGGGAGGGAAGGATGGCGGGCTCTCCGAGGGTGGAGGCTTCAGGTGACCCCAGGAGATCTGTGCACGGGCTCCCACAGCACCAGTAAATTGCATCCTGACACGGGCATGAATTCAGTATTAACCTGTGTTTGTCACGAGTCCTTCAAGTACCGTCAGCTTGCCGTTGGTGTAACGGAAGTGTGCTTTGGTTCCGTTGTGGGTTGTCTTATGCGGGGAGCAGTGCGTGAGAGGCTTAGATTGCATCAACTCTTGCACCCCAGAGGCCTGAGTAGCCAAGAACCCCCAGGCTCCTGAAGGACCCAGGAGGAACCCCCTCTCCCAGTCCCTCCCAGCTTCTGGTCCAGCAGAGACCCTCGAGGGGCCATGGAAAAGGGGCCAGGTGGGAACAGGGAGAAAGACTGGAGTGGAAACCCAGACTCAGCTCCAGTGTAGGCACATCATTCCTGGAGTGTGGATCAGATTTCCACATGTAAGCAGGTGACTGGAAACTTGTGTGGTTTGTCTCTGGGATGAGACCCAACACTGAAGCCTTGGGAGCTGGAGGACAGGGAGAGGCAGTCGGGGAAATGACCACAACTCTTACCATTGGTGCTAAGAGGGGTACCCAACATGGGCTTCTGTTTACAGAGGTGATGTTTGGCCTGATGGAGAAGGAGCCAGGGAAGAGCGCTCCAGTCATAGGGAAGAGTGAGTGCCAGGGTCCTGCGGCAGCAAAGAACTGGAAAAATTCTACATTCCTTCTAGACTTTCCTACTTGCCTTCTAGACTTCCTGCCTTACCGTCGTGACAAGAATACAAATAGGAAATAGTTCCCATCTCACAAACCAACTCCTGTCTGCTGACTGTGCATGCCAGCAACTGTTAAAAGGCCCAGGGCATTTATTTTTTTTTAAGGTTTATTTATTTATTATTTTAGAGACAGAAAGGGAGAGAGAGCTCAGAGGAGAAGAGAGGGGCAGAGAGAGAGAGAATTTTGCGCAGACTCCACGCCTAGCGCAGAGCTCCACATGTGGATCAGTCTCCTGACCCTGAGATCATGACCTGAGCCAAAATAAAAAATCAGATTCTCAACTCACTGAGCCACCCAGGTGCCCCAGGGATGAGGACATTTAGACTCAGCAAAAATGAATGCTGTGTAGGGTCTCTGAAGAGTCCAAGCTAGGGTGTGGGGCAGGCCGTGGGGCACACCTGCCACCCTGGGGCAGCATGTGACCACGAGGTCAGTGTGCCATCTCTCAGCCACATTGCCGGGCCTCAAAGTTGAGGTCAGGTCTGCCTGGACCTCAGTGCACATCCCTTGCAGAAGCAGCTGTGCCGTCCCGCTATCTACAGAGGACACCATTTCTCGCCTGCCATGTGGGGTTCAGAATCTCCCAAGGCATTGGTCTGAAGGATTTTTTTTGTCTACAAATCTCCCGATTTGAAAATTAGTTTTACCATTTCCCCCTCACCTTGTCATCAAAGCTAAATTTTCAAATATGTGTCCAGCAACGTATTAGACAATTTTTTTGTTTTGTCCTGTTTGCTCATCACACGTCCTGGAACTGTCGCCGTCTCCTGGCGATATGGACGTTTGCCAGCCCTGCACATAGACAGTCCCTCAGATCCCTGAGCACCATGGGTGGCCGCGTGTCATTCAAGATAAAACTACTCAGTGCAGGAGCTCCTGCTTCTGGGTCAGGTTTGGCCTTTAGGTCCCATTGTGGAGTCACGTAGGGAGTCCGTTGTTCTTAAGGGGAGTTATTACGGGGATGGTTCACTACCCCTCTGTAGCGCTGCTTGTAGTGTGAATTTACTCTGTAAAATATTCATGAATGTCTTGAAGCTGTTTAAGGAGCCAAAGGCAGCGTTCCTTGAAGACAAAATTTCCTTCCATAATGGGCCACAAGGTGTCTCCACGTGTAGGCTCAGAGTGAGAAGAAGAAAGGCGGGAGGTTTTTATTATATAGATGGTGACGTAGGGGGAAGGGCCTTTTCAGGAGGAAATTAGTGAAGTGGGCTGACGAGGAGCATTCGTGCACCTGGAGAGGTGCCCAGTGGTGCCCACGTGAGTGAAGACTCCTCTCTCTGACTGGGAGGGAGAAGCGCTAGTCCCACTGCAGTGTAAACTGTGCTCATGTGGCCTTAAACTGCCAGCTGAGGTGATCATCCAGATTAAGGTGTCCTAAACCAGGTCACATTATGAGCCAGGTAAGAGATCCGAATCCACTTTCCCTGCAAAATTATAATAAAGAGCACACTCCAGCCTCCACTCTTCTTCCCTTCCTTGGTTGTTGTGGCCACTGTATTGGAAAAGCATCTGTCCTAACAGATATGTGAAGTTGGTTTTCCAAAACCAATAAAACATCCCCAGACCAGGGCTCCCGGGGGGGGGGCTCGGTCGGTGAGGCATCTGCCTTCAGCTCAGGTCATGATCCTGGAGTCCTGGGATCAAGCCCCACATGGGACTCCCTGCTCCATGGGGAGTCTGCTTCTCCCTCCTCCTGCTCATGCTCTCTTGCTCACTCTCTCTCTCTCTAATAAATAAATAAAACATTTTAAAAAAAGAAAAGAAAATAAAACACATGCCCAGACCTATACGTGTGAGAAATGCCATGAGGAACGACAACCTATGGACGGTGGGGGAGTCACCTAATATGATGGAAAGAATGTTCCATCTGCCCCAACCTCCTGACTTGGGACAGGGCATTCCATCTGGTGTCGGTTTCCTGGTCTGTGCACAAGAAATAATCATCATCACCCCGGGGCCTGACCTAGGAATTGGCGGTCTGATGCACATGAAAGCCTGCGGCTTCAGTAAGAAATCACTGGGTCTGACTGTGTGATTTTTCGTTCTCTCTCTTAGAAATTTTTGATCTAGAAACAAATGAGCACGTACAGAAAGCCGTACATGACCGACAGATGCCCAAAGTAGAATACCGGAAGATCGAGGTTGACGATTACAGTAAGTGCCGCATGGTCCCCCCCGAAGCAGCCTGACGGAGCGCTGGATTGACTGCACGCACCCGGGCTCCCCCTCCCACCCCCTCCCCCATCCCCATCCCCCACACCACACTCCCACCATCACACTCCTGCCGGGCCTCCACGCTGGAAATGCTTCCCAGCCTGCAAGGGGGAGGTTCAGGCAGGACTCAGGGGGAACACATCCTGCGCTGAGCTTACTGTGCTCAAAACCAAGAAACTCCTCGAGCAACAGACCAAGGAAAGTGGAGCATATGATTTCTCTCCTCAAGAGGCTGACATTTATTCTCTCCTCTGGGGGAACATGTCATGACATCGTCCGGAGAAAACAGACTCCCTCTGGAAATCCCTTTTCTGTTCCATGCGATATTTGCCTGCTTCATTGTCTAAGCTTTCGGAGCTGAGCATGGGCTGAGGAGGCGTCCTTGCATCCAGAGAGATGATACGGGGAGGGCTTGGCGTGCTCTCACAGCCCTGGCCGCACCCAGCTCCCTGCCTTGCTTTGTGCCCCTCTTTGTCTCGAGCTGCCCACTTGCTCGTCCAGTAAGCTTTCATGAGTGCTAACACTGTGCTGGACCCCAATGGGCACTGTGCCCCAGATACTGGGTGGATGTGGACTCCGATGCCCAGGAGGGAAACAGAGTCCTCATAGATAGCCTCAATCTCCCCCTTTGCAGATGGCTCACCAGTCTACCCAGCCCACCCTGGGGTCCTCACTGCCCACCAGTGGTTTACCCTTGGAGATCCCACATACATAATGCCCCAAACACGTCTCACTGTCTTTCCCCCAGATCTCTGCCCCCCCACCAGACTTCCCTACTTGGGGGATAACACCTTTCTCCTACACAATGCGGGTTCTAACCTTGAAGATCTCTGGGTCGTTCATTCAAGTCCATCCACCCATCACCTCTGAAGTTGGCATGTAGGTTTCCTCTCTTGGCCAAACTCTGATGGATTGACTGTAACTGTGGGAGCTCTTTGTTGAAGAGGAGCAGAGTGTCATCAGGGGTCCATGAGAGAGTGTTGAGATTGATTACTGATGTCTGAACTGCAGGGTGGTGGGGGGGCAGGGTGGTTGCCATGTGAGACCATCCCTAGAAGCTCTTTTTCTACCTGTTCCCTCATGGAGGGGCAGTGGCTCATCACCTGGACCAGTGGGCCCAGGGGCATTATTAAGTATCCCCTTATAAGAAAGGACACAGTGACCTAACAGCCTGTGACCCCCTGAGGTCAGGAACCAAGGCTCCCCCCCCCCATGAAACAGAATCAGACTGACCCGAACAGCATATATGGCAGAGCTGCATCTTTAGAGCACAAAAAAAAAAAAATGGCCCAGGGACTCAGAACAGAGTATTAGTGGACTGGGGTCACACAAAGTTTCCCAGGAAGGTGGGACCTGGACAGGCTTTAGATCTTGGAGTGGGCTTTAGGTTGGCAGGCAGGAGGACAGAGTGCAGTCCAGGGCTGGGAGCAGCATGAGCCAGTGCTCACTGGGGGGTGAGTCAGGAGACTGACCTGGACTCACAGCCTGGGGGAGAGTCCTGGCATGTCGTGGACACAGAGGGACCGCTCACTGGGAAGAACCTTCAGTCCATCCATAGGCCACTTGCCAGAACAGCCTGATCCTATTATTGAGCCCTATGGAGTCACACTATGTTAGAACTAATCTACACATTCCTAGAGATGCAGGTAGTGTTACATATTCACCTCTGAAAGTCAAGAAATATGGAGTACAAATCCCTGTCCCCTGCCCTCGGGCGTGGAGGCTTTCTCTTTTAAAATACCCCAAGGGTGATCCCTCCAATGAGGAAGACAATGAAGGAGATGAGTAAGGCAGAGTCTAGGGGCAGGAGAAGAAACAAACAGGCAAACCACAAATGGGGTCTGCAATGATGTGTCCTGGCCAAGAAATGTGGTTAGGGCCATGGGCGGGGTGGGGGGGGAGTCTCTTCCCACAGATCCAGGGGTCATTCCCACCATCCTTTCTCCTAGATCTCCATGAGATGCACCAGATTCCACAGGACACACTCAGCCCTGGAACGACAGGCAGGTGTGGGCGTCCAGGGAGCTGCAAGTCCAGCAGGCAGAGCTCAGGCATGCTGATTCACGAGAGGGAGAGAAGCTGTAAATTGAAAAGAAGCAGTAAATTAAAAAGACATAGAGAAACTAGGGCACCCACGGATGCCGGCCATCAGTGCTCGGGGGAAATTGTAGAGCTGAACATGAGGGGCAGGAAGGTCACAAGTCTAGGCAGAGCATGAGAACACACAAAGGTGGCGGGAATCCCAGCTCTAATAGCGAAGAGAGCTACTCTGGGCACTTCAGGGGGTTCTCCCACAGAGGAGCGGTGTAAAATGCAGGAAAAGACCTTTAGAAACAAATAACTCTCCCACCCTTGCCATATGAGGTTTCCTTCCAGTCTGAGGCTTCCTTGGTAGGTGGGTGGGAATGCAGGTGCTGGGAGAGCAGGTGTTTGTGGGGACTGGGCCCCTGAACATCACACCACCTTGGGGGCCACCAAAAATCCCAAACATGTGGCCCAACCGACCCATCCTGTTATGTTCTGTTGTTTCATTTAAAGCCACCGGAGGCTGGACAGGTGGCTCAGTGGTTGAGCGTCTGTCTTCGGCTCAGGGCGTGATCCCTGGGTCCTGGGATGGAGACCCACACCGGGCTCCCCACAGGGAGCCTGCTTCTCCCTCTACCTAAGTCTCTGCCTCTCTCTGTGTATCTCTCATGAAAAAATAATAAAATCTTAAAAAAAAAATAAGTAAAGTCACTGGAGGCTAAGGCTTTCCTTAGGGAAGCATCCGTCTTTAGGAAGGGCCCCCTGCCCTGGATGCAGCCAGTCGTGGCCACGCACTGCTGTGGGCTTATCAGCGGCAGAGAGCAGCCCTGACCATGTTTTATGGATAACGCAGTCTGCTGGTCCCTGGACCATTGATTCAATTTGCAAGCCATTAACATTCACCCAGAATCAGTAATGAGAGCCTGGTCAGCCGGCTGCGGAGCCAAGCACCCCAGCCTGGGACGTATCTATAGTAATCGTACTGAAAAAGCCACTAATTCCAATTTAATTGCTAATCTGGGTAGTAGTTACCATCAATAAACAATTTTTTCTAACTTGGGCAGGAAGGTTTGTTTTGGGCGGCGAGGGACAGAAGGAACTGGTGAGGGAAGCCCCTGCCTCCCAGCCTGGGTCCCATGCTGCCCGGGCAAGATCTGAAGGAGCTGGCACAGCAGCCCCGTTTCCCCCCAGCTGCCCGTAGCTGTGGCCCTGCAGGCAATGGGATGCCAGCACCAGCCTGCAGACATGGGGGGCCCAGCCCGCTCTCAGCCTCTCCCTCATGGCTGCGGTCTGCCCCCTGAGCTCACCCCATCCCCGTGACCCCCTGATGCCTGTTCCCACTTAACTGCATGTTGCCCCAGTGCTGCTGGCAGAGACGCAGTGGCGCCCTTGGGATTTCATTTCTCCCCGCCCGGATTTCGGCCGTTAACAAGTGTTCTCGGCACTCCAGGCTTTCCTGCAAAAAAGGAAAAGTTTCAGCCCACTCTGCAAGATTGAATTTGCGCCTCAGATGGAAAAACAAGGCCCCAAGATGGCTGAGCGATTTGCCTGAGGGCACTCAGCCAGCCAGAGTCACTGAGGTCATCATCGGGGCCAGCTCCGGGGGGCAGGTGGACCCCCGGAGCCTCCTCCACAGTGTCCTTCTCCCAGGCATGCAGGAGCACCCCTGACCGCTGGGGCACCTCGGCCATCGCCCCTTCCTTCCTGCTCCGTGGGCCCCTCTAACGTGCTGCCCGTGTTCTGCTTCTGCCTAGACTTGCCCGTTCAGATCCTCAAGCCAGCAACCTTCACCGACACTGCCCACTACCCCCTGCTCCTGGTGGTGTGAGTATCGATGCCTCTTTCTTGCTCGGGCTGGGGGAGGGTGTTGCTGGCCTGGGGACTTGGTGACCCCACCAGAAATGAACATCCAGACTCTTAAGAAAAAGACAAGCATGAGACCTGAGGCTGCAAAGTAAGAGTGAAGCCAGGTTAGGTGGCCAGCAGGTAGCAGGCCGTGAACGGAGCCGGCGCCCCCGCCCCAGCCTACCTCTACTGTGGGGCCTGGAACAGGGCTTCGGGGGGCCAGGGGGCGCTACCCAGGCTGCAGACAGGCTCAGAAACAGACGGACAAGCTGATCTGGAGAGTCAGGTGGCCGCTCGCATGAGGGGGGCGCTCAGCTCCCCCAGGGCGCAGGCCGCTCCAGTGGCAGAGGCAGGCACGGCGGGGCATGGGCCCGGCTCCCCAGCAGGCTCCCCGCTCACACCAGACCTGCCGGGGCCTCGGCAGCTTCAGCCACCGTGACACGGCCTTGAACACGGTTCCTTTGCCAACCAAGGGTCAGCTCAGACATTTCGTGTGTTACTCAGGGAGCCCTCAATTGAGATCATGAGCACAAGTGTTCAGAGCTCTGTCACCACCTTGGAAGGGGTCGTCCTGACGGGAGAGCCTGCCCTCACTGGGGTGCGCGAGATGAGAACTGCCCACCCTGAGCGTTAGACAAGTGTTAACATGGGCACGCAGAAGTGATTTCAAAGGCAGACGCCAGCCAGGTGTTTCACACGTGTTCTCTTCACCTCCACGTGTGCTCTTTCATGGCCGTGGAGCATGAGAATACTAGGCTCTGTCACTGCCCCCCTGGGAGCCGCCACTCATGTTCACTTGAAAGAGGTCCAAGTGGAGCAGAGGCCTGTGCTGGGGTTGTAGGGACACCATGAAATCACCCACCTGCATCAGTGTCAAATGGCCTGATGAACCTTCTCCTGTTGCCCGGCTCCTGTCCTGGGGACTCGGTCCCTCAGCGACAGGAGGGCTTCATTATGGAGACGCCCTGGTGTAGATTCCAATATCTGATTCGATTTTGCAATTTGCCCACTTTCCGTACTATTTGGACAGGCTTGGCACTTTGCCAACAACCACACACGTGTGTCACACACAGCCCCTCACACACCCCTCAGTCATACACACCCCTCGCACACACATTCATCACATACCCCTCACACACACTTCCCTCACATACACACACACCTTACACACACACCTTACACAATCATACACCTCACATACCCCTCACACACACTTCCCTCACATACACACACACACACACCTTACACACACCTTACACAATCATACACCTCACATACCCCTCACACATACATACCCTCGCATACACACACCCCTCCCACACACACCCCTCACACAGTCACGTAGGTCACTCACACACACATTCCTCACACACACACCCCTCACATACACACCTCACATACCACTTGTACACACACCCCTTACACAGCATACACACCCTCACACACACATTCCTCACATACCCCTCACATACACACCTCATACCCCTCAGAGACACACCTCATACATACAATCCACACGTACCTCACATACCCATCACCACTCACACACACCCCTCACACCCTCATATACACCCCTTACATATTCTTCACACATACATGCCCCTCACATACACACACTTCACATACCCATCGCTCACAGTCCTCACATACACCCACCCCACACACACCCCTGGCACGCCTGTGCATACATACACCTCACACACCCCTCATACATACACTACTCACACATATCTCACACACACTCCTGCATCCACACTTCTCACACACATATACCTCACATGCCTCACACAAACCTCCCTCACACACCCCTGCATACATACTCCTCACACACACACACACACACACACCTCACACATGTCTCTCTCACACACACCACACACCCCCTGCCTGCATGCCTGCGGTCCCCAGCAGAAAGCCAAGATGGCGGTGGCAGTGGGAGCCATCACCTCCCTGAAGAAAGGACCGGCCAGGTCGTCTTCAGTTGGCTGGCTCTCAGCATGGGGCCTGGCCATCTGTTGCTGTTGCTGGGTGAGAGGCTGGCCTTCCGTGCCCGTCCTGTCCCACGAAAAGGAGAAGGACTCTACTACCATCTTCACCTTCACCCGTCAGCGTGCTGGTGAACGCGCAGGCCCGAGCCTCCACGCGGGATGGCCAGTCTGCGGCACTGGCCGATTTCGGCGGCATCCATGCTGCACCGCGGCCAGAGTCGTGATCGGGGAGCCGGGACCTCCGGGCGTCAGCGGGGCCCGGCGTCTGTCGGAGCGGCCAGCACCGCACAGCATGCTGAGGCCTTGGGCTCTTTTCCAGGGACGGCACCCCTGGGAGCCAGAGCGTGGCCGAGAAGTTCGAGGTGACCTGGGAGACGGTGATGGTGAGCAGCCACGGAGCCGTGGTGGTGAAGTGTGACGGCCGCGGCAGCGGCTTCCAAGGAACCAAGCTCCTGCATGAGGTGGGGCGGAGGCTGGGCTCCCTGGAGGAGAAAGACCAGATGGAGGCCGTGCGGTGAGGACCCCCACGGGGCGCCAGTGGGAGAGGCAGTGGGGGTGACAGCCCCTCACGGGTGTGCACGCTTCGCACGCAACCCGCTCACACTAACAAAACTCTATGGGCGATTCCGAAGCAGGCTTCGAGGGGACTCCAAGTAACGTTCCCCCCGAGACTCCTGCGCTAGTTGCCAGGGCAGGTAGCCTATGTGTCTAGTGGATGACAACATGGTGCCAGGCCCATGACGGGGACTTGCCTGGCTCCCCGTGCTGTGGTCACAGACCTGGGCCGGCGTCCACACACGTCTTGGCCATTCCTCACAGAGGGCAGGGAGGGAGGGAAGACAGGAAGGGGGGTGGACAATATGGGTGGGGACGGAGCCAGATGATGAGGCACTGCGTTTCTGAGGACACGATCCCTGACGCATCCAGGGGGCCAGTCAGGAAGCCCTACTCGGCCCATTTTTGTCTCGTTCCACATCTTTGTCAGTCAGAGACCAGTACAGAGCAGATAGAGGCTGAGCACCAAGGGACAGATGCTCCAAATTACTGGAGTTTTATAGTCGCCCTGGTAAAAAAGACATCAAGAGCCTGTTCCAGGCCGGAGCCTGTTCCAGCGCTCGTGCTCAACAGGTGGCAGTGGTTTTCACGGTCCGCTGGTGTGGTGGACAGCAGCGTCAGCATGACAGCCATGGAGAGATAGATGCTGCAGAGTAGCTCATCCAAATCTGCAGACTCCCGCCCCATGGAATGACAGGAAGGGGAACGGGACCCAAGTAAGGCCAGTTAGCTTCCCAGGCAGTAGAGGTGCGGGACACCGGCCCCTGGGTCCCCGGAGACAGTAGAGCACAGTGTGCAGGTGCTAAATACGTGTCTCCTGAAGGGCTGCAAGGAAGCATGGTGTCCCATCCCACCCATTCCCATGGCTTGTGTGCCTTGCAGGCTTGACACCTTTCACTTCACTGTCTTGTGACGTTTCTCTCTTTCTTTTGGAAAGATTGGTGGCTTCTGGTAGGTGCTCAGTTAAATAATTTTCAACTGGATGAGATGATGAGTGAGTGGATGAATGGCCCTCTCTGCTCAAGGGCATCGTGCGCTGATGGAGCAGAGATGAGGCGACATGCCCAGGGCCCTGTGCGTGTTACAAAGTACGAAGGAGGAGAACCTTCTGAGGACCCATGGTCCGGGAAGGTACACCTGCTAGGATGCTTTTGCCTGGCAGTTCACACGCAGGCAGACGAAGTCAAACATGCTTTAAATATAAGGAGCTGTATTGGCCCTGGAAGTCCAGAGTGATGGTGGGCATTGGGGTTCATTGAGCCAGAGAGCCAGCAATGCCACCCAAGGCCCAGGTTCTCTCCATCTCTCTGCTCAGCCAAATGTAATGGCCTCATCCAGAGCTGATTCTCCTCGTGCTCATGGGATGGCTGCCAGGAGCACCTCAGTTCATGCTTCTTCATTCATCCCCTCCAGCAGGTTGGGGAAGGAGCCACTTCCAGAAACTTCCAGAAGGGAAGGGAGGAGCCTCCCCAGAAGCACCCACCAAACCTCTCCTTACATGCCCCTGACCAATCCTGGACCAGAACCCATGACTGGCCAGAGAGGTGTGGGCTGTCACCCTGAGACCTAGGAGGTCCCCCTGGACCAGTGGAGCAGGGAAAGAAAGGTGGACAGTTAGGGCTCCTGGGGCTCTGTGCAGAAGGGGGAGGATGTGGCAGGGGTCCTCAGCCAGTGGTGTTCCCTAAAAGGGGCAGGGGTCCTGGCTGGACTTGGAAGTAGGAGTGGGACTTCCATCAGTATCCACGTGGGGGCTTGTATTGCAAGACAGCAGCAAAGCCTTCCTCCCTCAGTGTCCCCCTTGCTCACCCTGGTCTTACTCCCCCATGGAGCGTGGGGCGTGGGGCACAGAGCCTCTCACCCCAGAGGCCCCAGGCAGAAGGACGCCGTGTCCTTCAGGCACACCCGAAGCACACACCCCTGCAGGTGCTTGGCTGTGTCTAGCCGCTCCCCTCCGAGCACAGGAACGAGAGAGAGCAAAAGGCTATTTCACACTCATGATGTTTTCTAAAAATAAGGAATTGATCTTGCCATCTGTTCAAAAAACAAGGCAGAACTTGTCCCGGAAAGACAGTGAGCAATGTCCACCGTTAGGCCACTGAGGCTCACAAGCACAAGACTCCGGAAGCCTTCGAAAACCTCACAGCCATCTCAAGACAGGCGAAGAGCTGAGGCCCAAACCATTCCAGCCACACAGAGCTCTACCAAGCTTTATTAGGGTCTGGCTCTGTATTTTCATTTCAGAAAGAAATGGCCCTGTTTTATCAGATGTCTAAGAAACCACGAGGCTGGCCCACCATGCTAATGCCCCCAAGGTCCCCGGCCCTCTTTGTGATTGTCCTGGAGCCCTCTGGGTCAGCTCCTGATGTGCTGCTGACATGAGCAAACCCCCTCCCCAGCCCAGCCACTGTGTAAGGGAAGAGGTGTTTGGGTACAGGGTGGAGCCACACTCACTTGGAGCATAAGCTACAGAGGCAAACAACCCTGCCTGAAGGGCTTCTGGGAGGAGGTGACCTTTGGGCAAGACTTCAAAGGATTAACAGGGATCTGTCAGGCAGAAAACAGGAGATGCAAATTCAAAGCAGGGAAGATATTGTGAGTAAGGGCTTGAGGTAATACAAAGGCACCACTCTTCAGGGCTCACTGAGCACCAGGGGACCACAGTGTGAGAGGGCAGAGGAGGAGGCAGATGCATGGGGAGGCGGGGGGTGGAGGAGGGGCAGGTACATGGGGAGGTGGGGGAGCAGAGGATAGGCAGGTGAATGGGGAGGTGGGGGGGCAGGGGAGGGGGCAGGTGCATGGGGAGGTGGCAAGACGGGCTAGATGGCAAAACGCTGCCCACAGCATCCTAAGGAATCCGAACTTGCCACGTACGCAGCAGAGTTCTGCAAAAGACTTTTTAAGCAAGGCGGTGGCAGGGTGAACTTTATTTTTCAGAACTGGAATTCTGGTAGCATGTAGCAAGTTTGATGGGTCAGTGGCCTGACAAACTGAGTAGTTAGAACAGAGGTGAAGAACAGTGAGCATTTGCAGGGGCGTGGGTGGGGTTAGGGAGATCCGAGGAATGGTGAGGTGTCCTAGGCCAGCCTGACAGGAGCAGGAGCCACGACAGACCCCAGAAGAGACCTCGGCCACGAGGAGGGAGCACCTGACAGGAGCCAGGACCAGTGCCCTGACCACTGCTCCCTCCTGCTGGCACTCCCTGTGGGCCAAACACACCAGAAGCCAGAGGACAGGGGAGCCGTTGTCACTGTTCATACTACTCATCCCTGGGAGCACTGAGTGCAGTGCAGCCTGTGGACAGCGAGTGGAGGGGATGCAGAGAGGAGGCAGCCCACACAATGACAAAGAAGGAAGAGGTCCTGGCCTGGGGGCTACGTGGGTGTGGCCTCGAGGCTGCCAGGTGGGACAGCTGCCCCAGGCCTGCAGTGGGGAAGCTGCAGGCCCGAGAGGGTCAAGGCTGGACCCTCCAGAACAGGGGCACAGTCCCGGCCGACCAGGCAGGAGCACGGCCTCGGGGAGAGGGCACATCAGGACTCGGCAGGTGAATGACCATGGAGGGGGGCATGGGGCTCTGCCTCAGAGCCGGAGCCAGCGAGGGGTGAGCTGTGCAGAGCTCAGACCCGTCACAGTGACGTGCCCACCCATCCCACAGAGCACGACAAAGGCCCTGGCCATGTTTCTCCTCCCACCCCCGTTGGCTCCTTTTTCTTCCCAAATCAAGCCTCTGTGAGGCTCTGAGCTTCCCCTGCTCGGAACGGGCCATGGCACCTGTGTCAGCTTGGATCCCCAAGGTGGGTGCCGGGGTGGACGTAGCACAAGGTTTCGGTGGGGGTTGTCTGTGACAGAGGCCTGGGCAGGAGGCAGGCCCTGGTGGCTGCAGTGGACTCTGACACTGCAGTGGAAGGGTGAGGATGGAGGACGGGGGTGCTGGGGTCTGAGAGAGAGACAGCGGAGGATCCCATGCAGGCAGCGGAGGCCCAGCTGTAGGGCCGCTGCTGTGCTCAGTGGCCGGGAGCACAGCTTGGGATGCTGAAGACCCTGCGGGGGGGTCAGAACTTGTGATCACTGGTCAGGGCAGGTTCTCTCAAGGGAGAAGGGAGGCCACGAGGTGCACAAACTTGTGCCCTGTCCCCCTGCCTGAAATTCCACATGGCCCCACACACAGCCCTGCTTATCCAGGACCCTGGGCCGTCACCCGGGAGGTGTTCCCTTGACCTCCTGTCCACGCAGTTCTCACTCGCTCTGACCAGCTCATGGCTTCTCCTCGGGTTTCATTGCTTGTGTGCTCGGCTGCATCACCACCCAACGGGCACACATCCCATCATGCCATGTCATCAGTGCTGCCACCATGTCACCCTGTTAGCCCATCTCCCATAGTAGATGGCACTTCTTGAGAGCTGGAGCCAGCGCCTCTGCACACCAGCCTAGGCGAACTCAAGGCAGGCTCTGTAAAGACACCCTGATGGATTCTGCTTCTGCACCAGCTAGACCTCAGACCACCCCAGTAATAAAAAGTGCTCCTTATATATGAAATCAGGTCTCCTTGGTCTTGGGATTTCACTGTCCACCAGGAAAAAAACAAAAAACATCATATTTGCTTGGTTCATTGGTGAAAATACAGCTACGAGATAATAAAAATAATTTGATTTGGAAAAAACAACCACCCCTGGAAGACCCCAGAGTACTTTCGAAATGAGGGTCATTACCAAGATTTCTGGCATTTAGATCAGGAAGTGAGTCACCAGGTAATTAGATGAAGGGGTTGCCAAAGACCCAGGGCCACCCTCACGCTTGGAAGGAGGGCTGAGAATGGAAATCCAAGGTATTGTACAAGTTGGAATGGAGACCTTTGTGGTGCACCTGGCTCACACCACGCTCCATGGTTCCCACACATGGCCACATGGATTGCAGCAAATGTGATCTGGACATCAGGCCCTAGGGCAGGATCCTCATGGGACCCAGGGGATCAGTTGTGAAGATAGCTGACTGAGCCAGACCAACCCACCAGATGTTCCCAAACATGCTTCTGCATATCAGAGGTTTGGGGCTCAAGGAGACAGTTGAGGAACTTGGAGATATGTCTGCGCTGGTTCCAGATAGGTGGGAATACCCACAAAGCTCTGGAGCCCAGGAACGTGGTGTGTGTGTGTGTGTGTGTGTGTCCATGCATGCATGTGCACCCACATCACACTCCTGGCAGGTGTGATTTGAAGCCGGCCAGGTTATCCTGTGACACCTGCACAACGTGTTTTTTTTTTTTTCCAAAAAGAAAATTTATTAAAGTGCTCTATTAGTTTCCTGGAGCTGGGACACCAAAGTCAAGGTGTGGGCAGGGCCTTGCCCCCTCTGAAATCTGTACGGGATATTCCTTCCCTAGCTCTTGCAGCTACTGGGTGTCCCAGCAACCCGTGGGGGCCCTTGGCTTGCAGACTCGTGGCTACAATCTTCCTTCTTAACATGGGGCTCCTCCTAGGTCTCTGGGTCTCTTCCCCTCTAAGGATGCCAGTTACCCTGGATGAAGGGCGTTAGGTCTAACCTCATCTTAACTACTTACATCTGATGACCTTATTTCCAAATACGGTCACATTCTGAGGTTTTAGGGGTTAGGACTTGACCATGATTTTTGGAGTTTGACCCATAACAACTGTTTAAATCAACAGCAGCAGAGGCCTATGCCCTGTGCCTGCCCCTCCCCACAGTCCTGCTTGGCGGAAACAACCACTCCCAACCCTGCAGGAGCTCCCAGCAGCTGAGGATTTAGAAGTTCTGCACACACACACACACACACACACACACACACACACACACACCCCACCCCAAAATGTCTGGTTAGATCAGTCATTGGGGATGCAGGACCTCCGTAGATACTGCTCAGCACAGAGCTGGTGGCCCACTCCATGCCCCAGCTTCGTCTGCATTGTTTGGTTCTGGACATGACGTGTTGCTTGTCTTTCACTTGAGAAGCTCTCCACAGACCTACTCATAACATCTCCCCCTTGTACCCAAATCCTGCTCACATTCCTGCTAGTATTTCAGTTCAAATGCTAAAACATTCTCATAATCTGTCAATTCCAACTTTCTTCTCTTTCCTGCCTCTGTGGGGCTGGTGGCCTCTAGGCCCGCCCGGATGTTCTCCTACTACTTTCCTCCATTGGGGAAAGTCAGGGACGGTGTTGCTCCAAGCTGGGCCCTTGCCCCCGGGAACTTATGTCCACTCACCTTGAACGTTGGCCATAGAACAGCTGTTCTGATTGCGGTGGACGGCCCACATCCTGGGACCTAAGGGTGGGGGGTGGGGGGTGGTCCTTAAAGACCTGGCTCTGAGGGCTTGGTACCCAGATTTTTACACTCCACTCAGGCTGGGAAGGGTAGTTATCAGTGATGAGGGCTCCAGCCAGCCAGCACAACCCAGAAAACAGCCACAAGGGAATAATCATGAAGAAGTAGAAACCGAAGGACCAGGGCTGTGCAGGGAGGTGCTCTGGCAGGGGGTGCATATGTCACAGAGACCCCAGACGGCAGCCAGTCGTTTGCCAGCAGGTGGCGGGACTCCCACTGCTGGGTTAGGGCCCAGGAACCCAAAAGATTGCTGTCATTTTGTGGGGAAACAAGGGACGACCCCTGAGGAAGGGTGACAACGGCAAGGCAGGACCCCAGCAGGGCCAGCTGGGGTGTCGTGTTGCCCGTGTCCGAGGCAGGAAGCACGAGGCAGGGGTGAGTCTGCCACCAAACAAGTACAAGCCAGGGACCACTCCCCACCCCAGCTCTGCCCCCTGTGGAAGCTGAAGACAAGGGACATGGCAGGTGGAGTGGGAGGCCAGCACCTGGTCCAAGCCCTTTAGCACAGAACCAAGCTGACCCCGGACAGCCTTCCCAGAGCCGGGGGTGGCTGGGAGTACCATGGTCCGCACGAGGGGCCGACTGTTGCAGAGTAGGGACCGAGCAGGGCCTGTGCTCCAGAATGGCATTGCCGCTGGCACTCCTGGCTTTCCCTAGGCGAGTTTTACAGACCTGGACAGTTACGGCAAGGGCACTGGGAGGCTTTCGGCATGGACGCCCTGCCTACGCGCTAAACAAAGAAAAGCAATGAACAGTTATATCTGAATTCCAGTATTTCCCTCGATGTAAATGGGGGTTTTCTTGCTTGGAATGGTTGTGGAGCATGGCTCTGGGCCACAGGGCAACCATGCCGCACACTCACTCTACCTCTCTTCTTTGGCAGGATGATGCTGAAGGAGCAATACATTGATAAGACGCGTGTGGCCGTGTTTGGGAAGGTGAGCCTGCTCCCAGCTCATCTGAGCACCTCTGACTGAGAGCGCTGCCCTGCCCTGTCACCCAGGCCCCATCTCATTTGTTCCGAATGTCTCTGGTCCGATGGCAGGGGAGCCATTAGTTTTTTGCAAATGAGAGGTTGGATGCTGAGGGAGTCCAGCAAGGGGGGCCCTCATCTGACCTGCTCGTTTTGTTTTTGTTTTGTTTTTTTAAGATTTTATTTATTTATTCATGAGAAACACAGAGAGGAGAGAGAGAGAGAGAGAGAGAGAGAGAGAGAGAAGCAGGCTCCATGCAGGGAGCCTAACGTGGGACTTGATCCTGGGACTCCAGGATCAGGGCCTGGGCTGAAGGTGGCACTAAACCACTGAGCCACCCGGACTGCCCTGACCTGCTCATTTATCAGAGTCTCTGTCTACATTATCTGGAAGGAAAGAAAACGGAGCCAGGTCCTGTGAGAGCACTGGATCAAGCCCTTTGTTACCTGCCACATGCCAGCCAGGTGTGGCTCCCCAGGAAACAGGGGCAGGCATCCTAATTTCCCTGTATCCCTACGTGCAGCAGCCACATTAATTTGCCAGGTTCACTGGCATGGAAAGAGGGGAGTAGGCGGTTCATGTTCTGCAGGGTGGCCCATGTCCACATCTGCCGGTGGTAGCTCATGTCGTGGAGGCCCAGGGCTGCGAGTCAGGTCCGTGGGGCCACCTTGTATCATCCAGGCACACCCGCCCCCATCCTTAGACAGCCTGGATCCATGGCCTCTTGATCTCAAGGAAGTGAGGCATGGACAGGTGGACACAGATCCATCTTCCCTCCAAGGGACCCATCAGAGCCTAGGCCCTCCAGAGGCTCCTTGCAGTGACCCTGTGGAGGCTTGAACAGGTAACTCTAGGACTACTTGGATGCCATTGCCTCTGGAACCCCTGCCCAGGGTACATGTGAGACGTGGCACTGCCCCGGGGGCAATCCCACACATGGCCTCTGGGGACCCTCCCCCCAGAGGGAAGGCAGCAGAGGGGAGGCCCAGCGGCACAGACCACGGCATGGCACCGAGTCCTAGTGCCCAGTCCATGCCGGTGGAGACCCACTCACTGCCCAGGAGGAGCTTGGAACCACTAGGATCATTTATAGGTGTAAGATTGGGTGTCAACGTCTGTCATGCATCCGAGCCCAGCCAGGGAGGTAACTACCCTCAGCCTGGGCTTCTGTCCAGTGCTCGCTCCTCCTCAAACACACCTGTAGCCTTTTCGACTTCTTTCACCTGGTCGTATGCACTCACGGTCCCTTTCGGGGCTCGAGAGCTCGTTACTTCTCAGCCCTGAATAACATGCCCTGTATACCGCGTATGTGAACATTCACCTACTTCCAAGTTTTGGCATTTATGAGAAAAGCTGATCTCATCCTCCCCGCACAGGTTTCTGTGTACACATGTTTTCAGCTCCTTTGAGTAAATACCAAGGAGGTTGATTGTGGGCTCATTAAGACAAGACACTCCTGTTCTGTAGGATGAACAGAATTCATTAATGAGGTAACCAACACACAGGTCGTAAAGGGTGCACGCTACAGTGAGGCTGGCACAGTGTGGGCTGCACAGTCTCCTTCGGGTGCGTGGCATCTCCACACTCGACTGTCCCATCCAACACACAGCCCAGCACACACCCCAGGACACACATACATGCACACCCCAGGACACACACACACATGCACACACGTACACAACCCAGCAGACACACACACGCACACCTCAGCACACAAACCAGCACACATACAGCCACGTACACGTACACATGCACACCCCAGTGCACACACCTCAGCGCACACACACCAGCACATACACCTCAGCACACACACAGCCCAGCATACACACGTGCACACCCCAACACGCACACACCTCAGCACACACACACACACACACACACACCAGCACACATACATTCAGAGCCCACTGCCGCGGCTCCCCCTCACACATTAGCTGCACATCCCATAATACCTAGTTGGGCAGATATTAGCCTCTTGGCGTGTTTACTGTCCAACAGAAGCTACGTGAAATGGTTGCTGAGTCCCTGATCTTACATCTGAGGCTGCTTTCCTGACAGCATCACTGACGCTGCGCCCACTTACCGCTTTCTGTCTCCTGCAGGATTATGGCGGGTACCTGAGCACCTACATCCTCCCGGCAAAGGGTGAAAATCAGGCTCAGGTTTTCACCTGTGGCTCTGCTCTCTCTCCAATCACGGACTTCAAGCTCTACGGTAATGATCTTGACTCCACAGGCTGGGCCCCCTGCCTCCCCCACCCTCGCCCCATGTTCCTACCTGCTGCCCTTGCTCCATGCACCCCCTCCCCACAGGGGAAGCCACTGGGGCAGGGGAGGGAGGGTTTCAGGTCACGTGTCTGATGAAAGCGGCCAACCACCAGTGTCCGCAAGTCACATTCCTGACCCACGAGACCAGGAGCTAGACACTGGCCTGGGGTCCTCACAGCGCCAGAAGAGCCTCGGTGTGTGCGGGTAGGGGTTAAGTGAGGAGGGGTGGAGTGGCTGAGGGGGCCGCCGCTGGGCGGAAATCGGGTGGTGACCTGGCAGTGCAAGTGGCACCTGGCCGGCACCTTGCCTTCCTAACGGGCAAGAGTCAGCGACCAGGGCCAGGGTGTCAGGATGGCTTGCTGTAGGGACCAGACGGGCAGGCCTCCCAGGTGTGGGAACCGGGCCTCCGCCAGGTCCCACCATGGTTCTACCATCACGGTTTTGGGATTGGAGGCTCCCTACCTTCTCCTGGAGCTGGCTAGCTCTTTTTCTCTAAATGTGAATGGTTTTGTGACATTTGTGCTTTTCTGAAAACGTGTGGTGAGGTGTTCCTTGTGGGTTCTGAGAACTGGCTTTCTGGTCGAGGTTATGGGGAGGCCAGGCTGTGAACCCCAGCTATGCTGCACAAAACAGACTGACTGATAGGATCAGAGGTCGAGGGCTTCTTGCCGCCAGTCTGCTAAGCCCTGCTGCAGGCCTACAAGTACCACGGCCCTGGCCACACATCCCCCCATGCCCACGTGCCCCATCTCTGCACCTGGGGCCCCGTGGGGTCCAGCAGCCCTCAGCCCACCAGCTCCTACAGACTTTTACAGAGAGGCCTGATGCAAACTCAACTGATAGTCCTTATAGGACTATAGAACTCTCTTCATTCAAAATGTTCATAATTTAAAATTAATTTCCTCATGGGAATACATGTAGCATGGTTCAGATTTTTTAATTCAGTGAGACTTTCTTAATCTTTTCAATCATGCTATTTCAGATTTGCCTGATTTGAAAGCACATAAATGTACCAGCCTACACCTTGATTGGTCACAGAGTCCCAGACAGGGAAATCCTCCACTGTGTCTTCCCCTTAATTAAGGATGTCCCTACCACTTGCAGAAGCCTTCTGAGCTCCTTCCTTCCTGACTTCCCTGACAGGGCAGACGCCAGGTCCTCACCCAGAACCTGGACCTAGAGCCAGGGCTTTGACTAGAAGGGGACATGCCTGGCTTTAAAAAAAAAAGAAAAAACAAAAGAAAAAACAAAAACAAAATCTGCTTGCTTTGTAGGATTTGTTGCCTTTCCTATATGTTGAAACAAAGCAGGGGGGAAGGGGGGATAAATCTTGTTTATTGAGGATTCAGATTTTCAGATTGTTTTACTTGATTGAGGTTTTGCTGTACAGCTCAAAGCCCACCCACCAGCTCTAGCATATTTTTGTGTTACCCTGGTGCCGTCTGATGACCTGGGGAAGGACCCACAGGTTGAGGGGTTTGTCCTGCGAGTGAGCCCCCCACCCTGTGCCAGGGGCGCCCCCTGTGGCTAGCAGCTCTGTACTGACCTGTACCAGTAACCCGGCCTTCCTCTGCTTGTGTCCAGCGTCTGCGTTTTCTGAGAGGTACTTGGGCCTCCATGGACTTGACAACAGAGCATATGAGGTATGTTGGGGCGCCCCTGCTGCCCCAGGGGAACTGGATGACATCGGTCCTGCCCCGACCCAGCTCCGGGACCCACACTCCCTCCCTGGCCCCACTGCCCTCTCCCTCTCTCTCCCCCGCAACCACCAAAGTCACTTGGAGAAAACCTTCCACCAGGCTGTGAGCTGAGGGGACCAGAGCCTCTCTAGGGCCCATCTGGGTCCCCTTTCTGGTACCTAAGGGGCAAAGAGGGGAGTTAGGAACATCTTGAGATAGACAGAGGATCTGTCCCAGGGCCCACAGTTGTTGGGCATGGATGACTGCTGGTCCCCTTCCCCAAGGCTGGTTCTGCTTTGGGAAAATAAGCCATTGATTGGGGGACAGAAAGTGCCCTGATGCCACCTGCCACGTCATAGCAGGTGGCATCGTAGCATTGAAATGACTTGGCACAGTGTCACATGGGGTGTTTCTTTGGTGGCTGCGGGGCAGGGGCCGCTGAGGCTCTGAGACGTGCCATGTGTTTCCCTCCCATGGCAAGCCCCCAGTTGTCTTGAGGGGGACAGTCCCCTGGGGACTGTTGCCACTGTCCCCAGGACACCCAGCTACCTTCTCAGTCAGGGTCCAGTGCACCTCACCTGCGGCAAAGAGGCCCCCTAACTGTGTCCCCTTGTCCCCAAATATGCAGATGACGAAGGTGGCCCATCGAGTGTCAGCGCTAGAAGAACAGCAGTTTCTGATCATCCACGCAACCGCGGACGGTAAGGACCACCAACGTTAATGCACAGCGTCACCTTGATGGTGTGAATGGCTCTAACCAGTACTTCCCTCTTTTTTTTTTTTTTTGACAGAAAAAATCCATTTCCAGCACACAGCAGAACTCATTACACAACTAATTAAGGGGAAGGCTAACTACAGCTTACAGGTACAGTATTTGCACATCTCCCCTGCTCCACGCCTGGAGAGAGATGTCCTTTTCATGGAAAAAGAACTGATTGGTATTCAGTTCATCCCAATTCTGCAGACACACCTTTGTTCCAGTTGTAGAGGCAGGCAGGGGTGCATCAGGCCAGACGAATCAGCACAGGCTTATTTTCTCTAGTAATTGGTGGTTGTCGGGTTCTGCACTTGAGCCATGTGCAAACCCCTTTATAACTCCACCACTAACCCCCGGCCCCCACTCCAGGCAATGAGCAAGGCCAACACGACCAGCACAATGCCACAGTGAGGCTGGTGGTGTAACCTGGCGGTGAGGACGGGGGCTGTTGCTCCAGTGTTGATGAGAGCGGCACTCTGGGAGGCATTGGGGGCTTTACAAGTACAAGTCCTGAGCCTTCTCCACTAGTCTCCCTCTGGATAGCACCACACATTCACTAAATTCTGGCAGAATGTTCCAGAATCATCTGTGGCTGAGCAGCAGTTAGAGTGCTACTCTTCTCACGAAACCATCTCACAGCCCTGTTTTCACTGGCATCAGGAACCAACCCAGCGCCTCAGGTCTGGGATCCTTGTAGCGATGCACAATGCCGCTTCTAGAAACAACCTCCATTTCCTTCCCCAGCCACAGGTTCCTTTGGCAAAACACGCGGGACCCCAATGGTCTCTTTGGGTCTAGAGACCAATGGGAGGTTTCCTTCATAGGCACACGTCCCCCCGACAGGGCCAGCCTTGGCACTGACTGCTGCCACCTTCTGTCTCTGAGCTCCTGGCCTGTTGGAGGGTCACGTGCAGGCTGGGCCAGTCTGGGAGAGTCTCCTGCCAGGAGGCAGTTTGGCCTGAGCGTTGATGAATGGGGAAGGAAGGATTTAGCACGTCACCTTTGAGCTTGCTTCTGAAAGCCTTGACTCATGGTCGACAGTTGCCATGGTTTTGTTAGCTACGTGTTAGGCATGTCATGGGTTAAAAGGCAAACTTCCATGTGCTAATGTGGATCCCTCCCCAAGGCATAGACCAAGCTACATCAGCAAGATGTTGAGCAGTATGCATTGTAGGCCACACCGGAGACAAGGAAGGGGGCCATAGCCCAGTGCCAGGCTTGCAGGCACAGCAAATGTCTTCAAAGATTCTCAGTGAATGTGGATCAGGGATCAAGTCCAGCAAAGGGCAGAGAGACTGGGGATCTAGACTGGAAGAGACATATATCCTTCCTGGTGTCCTTTTGTGGGGTAGACGTTTTTCTAAGTAACAGTTCCGTCATTGATAAATAAAATAAGGGTGAACACCATCCTCTAAAGATATAGAGGAAGACAGTCTTCAAAATACAGGAGGCAGCCTGGTATCATGGTGAGAACATGGGCTTCCGGGTCAGTTAGACTTGTCGTGAGTCCCTGCCGGCACAGGTACCTGTGTGTGGAAATGTGTGGCACCTCCAGGGGCCAGAGGGATCCGTCCTTACACGTGGTGGTCGTGTGCCACCATCTTTTAAGCCCTCCCCGTGCCCTGGCCTTATTCTAAACACTTCACAGGGAGTCTATCATTGAAACCTCACAAAACTTTATGAGCTGGATTCTATTATGATCATCTCCACTTGACACACCTGGAAAAACTGGGGCTCGGGGAAGCTACCTGCCCACGGTTACAGGGTGAGCCAAACGTGGGTGCAGGGTGTGGAGATAACACAGAATTCTTCCCAGGTCTTTGGGGATCCTGGTCCCTGGAGCCCGGGGCGGGAGCCTCCATGGTCCTCGAGTGCGTGTCCATCCATGCTGCCAGTCCAAACCAGCAGATCCAGGCTGCATACAGTCTGTCGAACAAAGTGTTCTCTAACTTACTGAGCCCAGAGAAGAAGGTGCTGACGCCCGCATTGCCGTGGTTTAGGAAATTCACTTTGCAGGCTGCCCCGGAGCCATGTGCAGGGCCCTGGCCGTGCTGGGTTCGTGTCTTACGAGCATCCCCGGGGCCCACGGGGGACCCCATCCGTGAGTAAACTTTCCCTGCCTTCCCCACAGATCTACCCAGACGAAAGCCATTACTTTCACAGTGCCTCCCTCCACCAGCACCTGTACCGATCCATCATCAACTTCTTCGTGGAATGCTTCCGGATTCAGGACAAACTCCCCATGGCCACAGCAAAAGAAGAGGAGGAGGAGGACTGAGCACCACGGGGCTCCTCCTGGAACAGTGTGTAGCCGGGACCCCGCCTCCCCAGCCCATAGGGGCTGGCTGGGGCGGGGGCAAGAAGTGTGACTTCCATAGCATGTGTGTCTCGCGTCCCAAAGGCGGCTTTGCTTCGGAAAACAGCTCCTTCCCGGGCCGAGACGCGTCATCGCTCATGGGGGGCTCCCATGCGCCCGGAGCCACTGCAGCATCACCCTCTTCTGGCCCCAGAGTGACTGGTGCATCCCACGGCCCCTCCCCAAGGAACAGAGCAAAGGATGGACGGCAGTGAAGAAATTGGCCCTCAAACCCAAGCTATCGTGCAGTAGCGTTAAGACCCACCCTCACTAGTGTGCGTGCCCACATCAGCAGCATCCGTCCTGTCCGATATAACCACACCATGGAAACAACTATAGCACAATTATTTTAACACTACTTGGTCATAGATCAGCTTGCTCCTTTCTGTAATTAGGAGACTCAGCATTTCAAGGGGCTGTACAAAGTATTACTGTAGCTATGCTAATGGTTAACCTTATGGAATTAATTCGTATTTTTCTATGGTTTTTATCTGACACTGTCTCTGGTCACGGGGTTGTTTCACTGTGCTTGCCTTCTTTCTTGCTTTCTTGCTTTCTCCTTCTTCTTTTCTGTTTCTTTTTGGCTTTGTGTTCTTTGGTCAGTGTGTAGGCTTTGCACTTGTTTGGATAAAGAAACGGATCAGAAGGAACTAACTGCTCTCTCCTCAAGATTGTCTTGAGACTGTGGAGAAATTTCAAAAACACTGAAGGGAAAAAATCATCTAACAGCATTCACTAAAAAAAACAAAAGAAAGGAAAAACAAGAAAATGCATAAATAAAACGTCTTTCCCACAAAGCTGCATTAGGATTTGGCTTATATTCACAAGATTTACCTATGTCCTGGAGCCCATCCACTCCCCACTTGATAAGTTGTCGAGGCTTTTCAGATGGCGTTTGGTTAAAGAAATGTAAAAAGACAAGGAGTTGACTCCATCCCTGAGTCTGTAGTGTGATCGGGGGACAGGCGTCCTGTCGTCCCGGGATGCAGGTGCATGCGGTTGCCTGGCACCCTGGGGACGGTGAAGTGGCCTCAGCACCTCCTGCGCACAGCCTCTGGCTGTTCATTGGAACAGCCACCCCTGGTGTGTATTTCATTTTGTTGTACATAAAGACAGGACTGGCGCTGCCGTCCACCAGCCCCCACCATGCCGCCTGCATGCCGACCCCCTGTGGCTGACCCGCACTCTCCACAAGTGCTAGTCTGAGACACATCCATCACTGCTGTTTCCTTTGGAGCTTGTTGACAACCTGAACGTCAGTACTGATGTCTCCAGCTTCCGGTCCTGCTGGGGGGTCCTTGACATCCTGTCAGCAGAGATTTGTCCGTGTCGCTTTTTGGTGTTTGGGGGTTCGGGTTTCATCTCCATGAGTTCTGGATGTCAGCTGCAGCTAGTGTGATTGGAAGGTCTCCAGTGCAGGATTTCTCCAGGCGAGACATCGCCATTTCTGGAAAGGACCAACGCATGAGCCACGGGAGCAACTCTGAATGCTACGCAATCATGCTTTCGCTGTTTCGATGGGCTTGACCGAATGCAAAGCCAACTAGGTCTGACGGGGGATAGCCTGCTCCAGCCACGGGACCTGGCAGGGTGGAAGTGAGAATGTGGCATGGTAGCGTTTGTTCATCCATGGAATAAAACATTATTTTACCACTCGGATAGCTCTTTTCTTGCTTACCCTCCACCACCCCTCCTTAGAAAGTGTGCAGAGCTTTGCTAAGGTACCTACTGAGCCCTCACCAAGACAGATGCACATCCCCCAGAGCCTGATATGCAGCAAACACAAGCCGTATCCAGGGCCGGGGCATCGATGGTAAGAAGGGTGTGACCCATGAAGTATATCAAAGTCCCAAATCAATCAGAGAAAGTGGGTTTGGGCTGCGTCTTTTGGGTTTTAGGGTGAAGACACAGAGATATCCCATAACAGTAATGGTAACATTGGCTCTCTGTTGAGCCTGAACCATTGCCCCCTGGAAAACTTGAGAAAAATGTCCAGGTGTGGGGATTGTTCTGCGGCATCTCCTAGGATCTGGGCTGCCACCATCCCAGAGGTGTGGGGAGCAGGCTTTCTCCCCACAGGCCTGGAAATGCACCCATCTCCCTTCTGCCTCACCAGTAATGGAAACCTCTAATGGGCAGTGACGTGAGACAGTCCTCCTTGCAACATCTTCTGTTAGGACCAGTGGGTTTCTCTGGCCATGGAGGGCAGAGGCTTCTGGCCAGAAGCCTCAGGTGCAGCCCCGAAAGCAGATCACCAGCCGTGGTGAAGCTCTGTGCAGGCTGCCGCAGGAACATCGAGGGGCTTCTGCAGGTTCCTGGCAGGCCTCAACAGATTGCCGGGTGGTACAAGGGGCCTGTGGCCTCCACTATCCCCTGAGCCCTAGGCAACATCTCCCACGTCCATCAGGGGTTCGCACATGAAGCTCAAGGTCTTTATTACCCTAATGACAAGCACAAGTGTGGGCTCAACGTCACATAATCGGGCCCAAGCAAGAGGCCAGTGTGAATCTGACTGGTCATGACAAGCAGACGCAGCAGAAACTTGCAGTTTTCCTGCCTGGGCCTGTGGCCCCAGCTCTGGGTCTGCAGCACATCCCCCCACTGAGCCCCCCATGACACCAGCAAGTCATGATGCTTGTTTTACCTACAAATTGCTTTCCACATCATCTTGTCCTCTGACCAGACCTTGCGCACCAAAACCAGAGTTTTCCATAGTTCTCACAGAGCGAAGGGAAGAGCAGAGGCTCGCCTGCTTCGTCCCATGTTACGTCAGTGCCTCACCAAGCCACGCCCCAGACACAAGGGGACTGCTGACAAGTAGCCAGAAATGTGATGGCTAATTGCTACATTTGGTGATTTACTCATTTTCCTTAATACAGAAAATTTCCCTAATACAGGAATCTTCTACTAATGACTCCCCCTAGCAAAGACCATCACAGAGATGAAGGGCAGGGAGCACCAGAAATCAACCCCCACTAGCAAATGGCAATGTGACCTTGACACGAGGTGGAGGGCGGCTTTGCCTTGTGGGGACACCACCCCTTGGGGCCAGTGAGACACCAGCACACACACTCGGGCCTGGGCTGTCAGGAAGGCCTTCCCCAGCATCACGGGCTGAGGGCCAGGGAGAAAAGGTGCATCCCCGGGGGAGATGTCAGCTCGCCAAGACTCCTCCCGGAACGTACATGTCTCCAACATGCCCACCAACCGTGGAGAATAGCAGCCTCTCCTGTGGCTTCCCGAGCGTCCAGCACACCTGGTTCCCCAGGTGGGACCGAACTGGACTGGACCCCGGCAAGGTCAAGTGGGCGGGGCCAGGGGCCTGAGTCACAGGGAGGCTGGTGGCACCCCAAGGACCATGGAAGGCACCCCCTTGTGAATCTGCTACCTGTTGAAGATCTCTTTTTGGCACTTTCCTGCCCTAAAGCAAAAACCCAAACTGGGCAAACTGCATTGGCAGTTGCCACTGTGTTCAAGCACCAAGCTGGGGACAGGGTGCTTGGCAAGTTTGGGGTGAACTAGGATGCACCGTTCATCTCTCTGGCCTCTTCCTTCCTGGTCTGCACATCATACCCTCTGTGCATCATCCTGATGCCGGCAAAGTCCATCTGTCCCGGGCACAGCAGTGTTGCTCCGGGGCGGGAGACGGAGATGCTGAGCCCTCTGTGCCACTGCCTCATTCCGCCCTGTCCCTGCATCCTTGCGAAGCCTCTTGACTTCTCTGGGTCCCATTTTTCATAGTAAAATAGAGTAATGGCATCTGTCTTGATGGCTGTACAAGGCAGCTGTGAAAATTCAGCAAAATGTACGTGAAGCGCTTTTGAAGGCACGAGAGGCCATGGAAAAGTGCAAGGAGCAGGACAAACTCCAGAGAAGCTGCCCTTGGAGTCAGGAATGGCCGAGGCTCTGGGCTGCACCTACCACCTTCCCCCCCCCCACACACACACCTGAGCCCTCCTCGGGTCCAGAGCCTCGAGGACCCACTGCTCCCACTCTGCTTCAGCTCCTTTGGGCGGGGGTGGGGGGCACAAGGGGGACAGATGTCTCTGCAGGGTCACCATTCCCGGACTCTAGACATGGGAGGATGTTTGTAGGCATCTGGACCCAGGGCCTGCCCCACCCCTACCCCAAGATTCCAGGTCAGGTGGGGCAGGGCAGGCTCATGGGGAATTTTGGAAGTCCATACTCCACTGAGCAGGCCAGAGCCTTCACGTTGCACCTTAGCCCTGTGACAAAGCAGCTGTTTCTGAAACACCTGCATCTGTTGCCTGTCTTATAGACAATAATGGAAAGCATTCATAAGACTCAGGGTGGCCTGCGTGACCTCGGGTCCACAACCTGAACAGCCACTCTGGTCACCTGAGGCCGGGGGACGCTGGAGCAGCCAGACCGTCTCCTGACCAGGACGTGCCTATAAATGGCTTTTCCAGCTACATCCCGCAGTCTTGGGGCAACAGGTTTCTAGGGCTGGAGGGGAGGCCTCTCTTCCCAGCAGGGAGTTCAGGAAACAGCTCACGGCCATGGGCAGGCCACGTGGGCTCTAGGGCTCCAGTCCATGGGCAACACGATAGCCGGCCCAGGGTCCCTAAGGGACTCTGGTCCTGCGAAATGGGCGCTCGGTGTGCAAGGCCCTCCCCGTGCTGGTCTCTTCTGCTTCCCGCCCGGCTGCAGGCGCTGGGCCACGTCCAGCCCACAGGCCTTGAGAAGCCTGTCACCTGGGGGCAGGACAGGGCGTCGGCCGCGGAGGACAGTGCTCTCCCCGCCCCTTGCCGGCCCCGCGCCCGCCCGGACAGCCCCGCCCCTCCCGGACAGCCCCGCCCCCGCCCGGACAGCCCCGCCCCCGCCCGGACAGCCCCGCCCCTCCAGGACAGCCCCGCCCCTCCCGGACAGCCCCGCCCCCTCCCGGCCAGCCCCGCCCCCGCCGCAGCAGCCCTCCCTCCCTCCCTCCCTCACCCCTCCCCGCCGGCCCCAGGTGCGGAGCAGGATCCCTCCCGCTGGCTCCGCCGCGCGTGGACGCCGCCCGCAGAGGGCAGCAGAGGCTCACGCCGGGCCGCCCGCGTGCCCACGGCGCTCTGGTAAGTGGCCCGCGGGGGCCGGGCCGGGGGCGGGGAGGCCACGGTGGCGGCGTGGGAGCGGGGTGGGGGGGCGACACAGCCCGCGCCCGAGTCCCCTCCGCGCGGGCGGCGCGGGCACAGCGCGGAAGGGCGGGCTGGCGCGGGGGCAGGCGCGGCGGCGGCGCGGAGGAGGGACAGCCTGACGTGCGGGAGCTGCGCGCAGGCCGCCAGGGCGGGGAGCCGCGGGCGCGCGGGCGGGAACGCGGCGCTGGGCATGTGCTCCCGAGGGCCCCGCCGGCGGCCTCCGCACGCACCCGGAGCCGGGGCTGCAGCGGTGGCGAGGAGCAGCCAGGGACGGGGGTGCCCAGCGAGGCCTGGGGAGGAGGCACCCGCGGGCGGCAGGTGCAGCCGGGCGGGGGGGGGCACCTGCGCAGGGCTGAGACCCGCGGCCGCGGTGGCGCGGTGGTGACCGCTTAGACGTCCTGACCGCGGGCCTGCCTGCGGTAAGAAGACAGCTATGGAGCGTTCAAGAACATGCTCAGGATCACGTAAGGGCGTTGCTTTCAGGTGTGCCTTGACTCGCTTCCAGCCCCAGTGGTGGACGCCTAGGGTCCCAGAGCACCCGGGCGGGGCTCCTCGGGCAGAGCTCCTCGGGCAGAGCCGGGCCTTGCGGGGAGAGGGGATGCCCGGATCACCTGAGGACCCACAGCCTCCTTCCTCCAGTTAGCCACTTTGGAAACTCAGGTAAGGACTTCGGGGAAAGTGGCCACCTTTGAGAGGTTAAAGTGTAGCTTCCCTGGGAGCCCTGGAGCGAGGACCACAAACGTTAACCATTAAATTGTCCTTAACATTTCCCTCTTTTGATCAATGGTCTTTCCTCAGAAAGCATTGACCAATCTTAGGTTTTCCTGTCGTCTGGTGCCGGAGTGCCCGGCTGGTCTCCCCTGGGCCCATCCAGTCCCTCGTGTAGGTATGAACATGTATGTTTTTTCACCCAGAGTTCCTTGGCAGGGGAAACTTATTGTAATGTAAAGGGTGGGAAGCTTAAAAGTGATAGGTGTTTTGTATGAAGTCCACCTGGCGAGCAAACAGTGCACGTGCTTGGCTTAGATCGTCAGGTTTTGCGTTTGTAAAGTCTTTGCGACAATGATTCAGAGTAAACGAATTCTAATAAGTACGAGTTGAAGGAACTGACGTGATATTGCGGGAGATTTAAGGAGGAGAAAAATCCAAAGAATCCTTTACATGCACTTTGATAGAAAGGTGGGGAATGTATGATTATTTGTGAGACAAGGTGGAGCATGAGCAGTGAGTAAACATACTCATAACATACATTCATTCCTTGGTTACTCTGGGGCTGAGAGGTAACATCAGAAGGAGACCAAGTTCAGCCCCTGATGTCTGGAGGGTGTCTCAGGATAGGGAGAAGGGGCTGTGGGTGCACTCTGAGAGCTGGGATGACCTGGACAGGGCCGTGGGCTTGTGACTTGCTGCCCAGTTTTATTTATATGGGTTCTTTCTTCCCGGGAGTAGTTACTATAGGTGCAGCAAGTGGTGTTAGCCATGGAATAGACTCTGCCTTGCTCAGCAAGCAATCATGTGATTATAAGGAGAGGCATTTCCATGGGAACAAAAGAAAACATAGGTTGATGTTTGGAGCAAATTATAAAGGCAGGATCTGAGTCCCGAGTGCTGCCAGTGAGATTTCCACATCAGTTTCCAAGTATCCTCCAAGATGGAATGGGTGCAGGGAGCAGCGTCTGATGGATTTTTCTGGTTTGTAGGTTCCAAACCTACAAAAAGGTGATCCTTTTGAGTTAAGTGGCCCATAGAGCAACAGGCCCTAAGGCTGTCTCTACAGGAGCTGCTGTGCCCCTGAGGCTCCTGCACCTGCCGATCCATGAGCATGGAATATCTTTTCATTTGTTTGGGGGCGTCATCGGTGTCTTTCATCAGTGTTTTATAGTTTTCAGAATACAGGTCTTTCACCTCTTTAGTTAAGTTTATTCCTAGGCATCTATCCTTTTTGGTGAAATTGTGAATGGGATTGTTTTTTCTTAATTCTGTTACTTTGTTATCAGTGTGTAGAAATGCAGCATATTCCTGTATATTGGTTTTTTATCTGTGACCTTACTGAATTCGTTTATCAGTTCTAAGTAGTTTTTGGTGGAGTCTTTCAGGTTTTTCTATATATAGTTTCACGTCATCTGCAGATAGAGTTTTTGCTTCTTCCTTACCAATTCAGATGCCTATCACTTCTTATGCTTGTCTGATTGCTGAGGCTGGGACTTCCAGTACTGTGATGAATAAAAGTGGTAACAGTGGACATCCCTGTCGTGTTCTTACCCTTGGGGGAAAGGCTCTCGGTTTTTTCCCATTGAGGATGATGTTGGCTGTGGGTTTTTCATATATGGCCTTTATTATGTTGAGGTATGTTCTCTCTAGACCTACGTTGTGGAGGGTTTTCATCATCAGTGGATGTTGTACTTTGTCAACATCTTGATTTTTTTCTGTATCTATTTTTTTATTTTTATTTTTTTATAAATTAATTTTTATTGGTGTTCAATTTACCAACATACAGAATAACACCCAGTGCTCATCCCGTCAAGTGTCCCCCTCAGTGCCCGTCACCCATTCACCCCCACCCCCCGCCCTCCTCCCCTTCCACCACCCCTAGTTCATTTCCCAGAGTTAGGAGTCTTTATGTTCTGTGTCCCTTTCTGATATTTCCCACACATTTCTTCTCCCTTCCCTTCTATTCCCTTTCACTGTTATTCATATTCCCCAAATGAATGAGACCATACATGTTTGTCCTTCTCCGATTGACTTACTTCACTCAGCATAATACCCTCCAGTTCCATCCACGTCGAAGCAAATGGTGGGTATTTGTTGTTTCTAATGGCTGAGGAATATTCCATTGTATACATAAACCACATCTTCTTTATCCATTCATCTTTCGATGGACACCGAGGCTCCTTCCACAGTTTGGCTATTGTGGACATGGCTGCTAGAAACATCGGGGTGCAGGTGTCCCGGCGTTTCATTGCATCTGTATCTTTGGGGTAAATCCCCAGCAGTGCAATTGCTGGGTCGTAGGGCAGGTCTATTTTTAACTCTTTGAGGAACCTCCACACGGTTTTCCAGAGTGGCTGCACCAGTTCACATTCCCACCAACAGTGCAAGAGGGTTCCCCTTTCTCCGCATCCTCTCCAACATTTGTTGTTTCCTGCCTTGTTAATTTTCCCCATTCTCACTGGTGTGAGGTGGTATCTCATTGTGGTTTTGATTTGTATTTCCCTGATGGCCAGTGATGCAGAGCATTTTCTCATGTGCATGTTGGCCATGTCTATGTCTTCCTCTGTGAGATTTCTCTTCATGTCTTTTGCCCATTTCATGATTGGATTGTATGTTTCTTTGCTGTTGAGTTTAATAAGTTCTTTATAGATTTTGGAAACTAGCCCTTTATCTGATATGTTATTTGCAAATATCTTCTCCCATTCTGTAGGTTGTCTTTGAGTTTTGTTGACTGTACCCTTTGCTGTGCAAAAGCTTCTTATCTTGATGAAGTCCCAATAGTTCATTTTTGCTTTTGTTTATTTTGCCTTCCTGGATGTATCTTGCAAGAAGTTACTGTGGCCAAGTTCAAAAAGGGTGTTGCCTGTGTTCTCCTCTAGGATTTTGATGGAATCTTGTCTCACATTTAGATCTTTCATCCATTTTGAGTTTATCTTTGTGTATGGTGCAAGAGAGTGGTCTAGTTTCATTCTTCTGCATGTGGATGTCCAGTTTTCCCAGCACCATCTACTGAAGAGACTGTCTTTCTTCAAGTGGATCGTCTTTCCTCCTTTATCGAATATTAGTTGACCATAAAGTTGAGGGTCCACTTCTGGGTTCTCTATTCTGTTCCATTGATCTATGTGTCTGTTTTTGTGCCAGTACCACACTGTCTTGATGACCACAGCTTTGTAGTACAGCCTGAAATCTGGCATTGTGATGCCCCCAGATATGGTTTTCTTTTTTAAAATTCCCCTGGCTATTCGGGGTCCTTTCTGATTCCACACAAATCTTAAAATAATTTGTTCTAACTCTCTGAAGAAAGTCCATGGTATTTTGATAGGGATTGCACTAAACGTGTAAATTGCCCTGGGTAACATTGACATTTTCACAATATTAATTCTGCCAATCCATGAGCATGGAATATTTTTCCATCTCTTTGTGTCTTCCTCAATGTCTTTCAGAAGTGTTCTATAGTTTTTAGGGTATGGATCCTTTACCTCTTTGGTTAGGTTTATTCCTAGGTATCTTATGCTTTTGGGTGCAATTGTAAATGGGATTGACTCCTTAATTTCTCTTTCTTCAGTCTCATTGTTAGTGTATAGGAATGCCATTGATTTCTGGGCATTGATTTTGTATCCTGCCATGCTACCAAATTGCTGTATGAGTTCTAGCAATCTTGGGGTGGAGGCTTTTGGGTTTTCTATGTAGAGTATCATGTCATCGGCGAAGAGGGAGAGTTTGACTTCTTCTTTGCCAATTTGAATGCCTTTAATGTCTTTTTGTTGTCTGATTGCTGAGGCTAGGACTTCCAGTACTATGTTGAATAGCAGTGGTGAGAGTGGACATCCCTGTCTTGTTCCTGATCTTAGGGGAAAGGCTCCCAGTGCTTCCCCATTGAGAATGATATTTGCTGTGGGCTTTTCGTAGATGGCTTTTAAGATGTCGAGGAAAGTTCCCTCTATGCCTACACTCTGAAGAGTTTTGATCAGGAATGGATGCTGTATTTTGTCAAATGCTTTCTCTGCATCTAATGAGAGGATCATATGGTTCTTGGTTTTTCTCTTGCTGATATGATGAATCACACTGATTGTTTTACGAGTGTTGAACCAGCCTTGTGTCCCGGGGATAAATCCTACTTGGTCATGGTGAATAATTTTCTTAATGTGTTGTTGGATCCTATTGGCTAGTATCTTGTTGAGAATTTTTGCATCCATGTTCATCAGGGATATTGGTCTGTAATTCTCCTTTTTGGTGGGGTCTTTGTCTGGTTTTGGAATTAAGGTGATGCTGGCCTCATAGAATGAATTTGGAAGTACTCCATCTCTTTCTATCTTTCCAAACAGCTTTAGTAGAATAGGTATGATTTCTTCTTTAAACGTCTGATAGAATTCCCCTGGGAAGCCATCTGGCCCTGGACTCTTGTGTCTTGGGAGGTTTTTGATGACTGCTTCAATTTCCTCCCTGGTTATTGGCCTGTTCAGGTTTTCTATTTCTTCCTGTTCCAGTTTTGGTAGTTTGTGGCTTTCCAGGAATGCGTCCATTTCTTCTAGATTGCCTAATTTATTGGCGTAGAGCTGTTCATAATATGTTTTTAAAATCGTTTGTATTTCCTTGGTGTTGGTAGTGATCTCTCCTTTCTCATTCATGATTTTATTAATTTGAGTCTTCTCTCTCTTCTTTTTACTAAGGTTGGCTAATGGTTTATCTATCTTATTAATTCTTTCAAAGAACCAACTCCTGGTTCTGTTGATCTGTTCCACAGTTCTTCTGGTCTCAATTTCGTTGAGTTCTGCTCGAATTTTAATTAACTCTCTTCTTCTGCTGGGTGTCGGGTCGATTTGCTGTTTTTTCTCTAGCTCCTTTAGGTGTAAGGTTAGCTTTTGTATTTGAGTTCTTTCCAGTTTTTGAATGGATGCTTGTATTGTGATGTATTTCCCCCTCAGGACTGCTTTTGCTGCATCCCAAAG